TATAAATCTCTTTGTGATATATATATTCAACAAAAATGAAAACCAGAGTTGTGATAGCGCGTTGCTTATTAGATTGAACGAACTTACCTGTGAAGTTCGATCACAATTATGCCCTTTGTCTCGTCCGGATGGAAACTATGTAGTCGTGCCCCTGCACGCGTATCAACAACAGTATTCAAAGCTCTGCCAAAAAGCAAAAGAGAGGCCGCCTCCCGCGGCCGCGCGCGCCGCGCGCCCGCCGCGCGCGCCTCGCCTCTTCATAAGTTCCAAGCCTTTTTGCAAATCGCTAATTTTCGGGGTGGGAAATAAATGTTGGGTGGGTGTCCATCCGGACGAGACAAAGGGCATAATTGTGATCGAACTTCACAGGTAAGTTCGTTCAATCTAATAATTATGCCTCTTTATGTCTCGTCCGGATGGAAACTATGTAGTTGTTTATAGCCTAGCGATTTGTCAATTATAGGAACAATCGTATAGGAGACTGTGAGCGAAAAATATATTCCATTAATGGAAAGTACAAGATATATAAATTCGTAAATAAACTGAAAAAATATAAACTTATGCTCAAAACTAGCAACTTATACTTATAAAAATAATATAATCCGCTGCTCAAAGCTATAGTCTTAAAAAGTAAATATAATATATACTTGTAAAGATAACATATGGTCTTATGTTCGAAAATATAATTTTATACTTATACACATAATATACGTTGAGTGAATGATGTGTAAACTATCAATCTTTATTAAAATAACGCAAATCCAACTAATATGCCTCTGAGTTGCGCTATCGCTTGCTATGCTGAGCTAATAAAACAGCGTTACTGAATTCCTCGGGATTAATAAGCGGCCTATTGTAGAAGTTGGCGAAGACCCGGGACTCGCCCGTCCAACCTGCCGCACGCTTAATAAAATCAAGGGGGACTCCCCTAGAAGATGCTTGAGACGTTGAAGCGTGTCGAGTGCTATGTGCCGAAAATATGGAAGTGTCTATTCCGCAATCCTCCAGACCGCTACGAATCCAGCGACTGATAGTTTGTGACGAAACAGCTTTGTGAGGCTTAGACAAAGAAATAAATAAAAAATCGCATGAAGAAGGACGCAAATCTTTGGTATTTTCCATATAATGCTCTATGAGACGAACAATGCAAAGGTTCTCCTGGTTAACGAAGCGGGAAAACATAAAAAAGGGTTGAGACCGACCCGGGGCCGAGGTTTTAATTCGATCCGGTACGCGAATGATTAGTCTGTCATTTAAAGAAATCTGTGAAATTCTAAGTAAAGCAAATGTTTGAGCTCTGTGACCAGTTGCAAGAGCGAGGAGGAGTATCAATTTCTTAGTGAGCAATTTTAAAGAAACTCCTTCATACGGGTAGATAGAAGACAGTTTAGCTATCACGGGAGCGGGGTCCCAAACAAAATCATACCGCGGGCGAGGCGGTTTCAGTGTGGAGACGCCTCTACAAAAGCGTTTGACCGTGGGATGATTCCCGATCTCGTTCTGAGAGATAAGGGAAATAGCCGATCTCATTGTATTTAGAGTCGAGTAGGAGGAGATATTCGGCAATTCTTGAGCTAAAAACTGTAAGAAGTGAGCTACTGATGGCGAGTAAAGCGATAGCCGATGATGGTGGCAGTAATTCCACCAGGAGCGAAGCGAGTAGGAATATTGTTTGATGGTTGATTCCGATAAGGAGGCTAGTAAAGCTGGTATTGCTATATCTGGAACTGACCGGGCCCTGAACGCTTCCCTGATAACCTCGTGACCCCCAGGGAAAGAGTCCTCCATGTTGGGTGGCAGCTCCTGAAAGGTGATGATAAAAGAGAATAATTGGGAGGAAGAATCAGTGGTTCGGAAATCAAAAGACGACCGAGCAACGGAAACCATGGCTGCGAAGGCCACCAGGGAACTATTAGAGTTCCCGTTGCTTCGTCATCAATTATCTTTCTAAGTACGCGAGGCAGTAGGATGAAGGGTGGAAAAGCGTAAAAATTTAGTTCTTTCCACGAAAGGGTAAACGCGTCTACGGCAGCTGATCCTGGATCAGGAAACCAGGAAACGTACAAACTGCATTTGTTATTAATTGAAGACGCAAATAGGTCTATGTCGAAGGGGCCAAAAACCCTTGCAACCCGACGAAAAGCTAGCTCAGATAAAGACCATTCTGTATCTGGGTCTGCCATTCTAGATTCTGCGTCCGCGACTGAGTTTTCTAAAGATGATATATAGGAGGCAAATAAGAAAATGTTACGAGCCTCGCACCAGAGCCAAATTTGTTTAGAAATCTCGGAGAGGTGAGGAAATTGGATGGAACCAAATTTGTTAATATAGGCTAAAGCGGTGGTGTTGTCAATGCGAAGTAGGACGTCGCAGCCCTGCAGATCTGCTGCAAAACAACGCAGTCCGTTAAAAGCCGCTTTAAGTTCTAGTGCATTTATGTGTAGGGTTTTCTCACCCTCCGACCACCAGCCATGAGTACGCAGCTCTCCACATGAGGCTCCCCATCCGTTCAAAGACGCATCTGTAAAGATTTCTCGAGCAAATCTACCTGAACGAATCCTGTTCGACTGTCTAGGATTAGAAAAAATGTTGATCCACCATTTGAAGTCTTCTCGAAGGTGTGGGGAGATGTTCATCTTTGAAGAGTAGTCTTCGTTATTTTCGATAAGAGAGAGAAATTTCTCTCTTTCAAACATTTTTGTATAAAGCAACCCATACTGCACTGCAGGGCACACAGAGATGAGAGACCCGATAAAGCTGGCGAACTCCCTGATAGAGCATTCTGACCTCTGGGCTAAGGATCTTGTTAGCTTTAATAAATTCTCCCGACGAAGAGGGGGGATTGTAATGGATTGTTCTGTTGAATCAAAAATGAAACCTAAATATTTGCGCTTGGTCGATGGTTCCAGCTGCGATTTGGCGTAATTTATCACGAAACCTAAAGACTGCAGGAGATTAATTGTAGCGGTGATATTAGCTCGGCATTCCCCGATGGATGAGCCAAAAAGGAGAAAATCGTCTAAATAGATGACGGATTGATACCCTCTTCTGCGGAGGAAAGTGATTACCGGTCGAAGGATCTTTGTGAATATATAAGGGGCTGTAGAAAGGCCGAAAGGTAAGGCTGTAAATTCAAAGGTTTTTCCTCGCCACTGAAATCGAAGAAATTTTCTGTGACCCTCGAAGATTGGAACCAGGAGGTAAGCGTCCTGTAGGTCGAGGGATGCCATGTAACAACCCGGTAGCATAAGGCGAATCACAGTGCGCCAATCTTCTAATTTGAAGTGTGGGGGCTCGATGTGCGAATTCAAATCTCGCAGATTTAAAATAAATCTTTTACCTCCCGACGGTTTATCCACTAAGAAGAAAGATGAAAGAAAATGATCCCTGCTAGGTTCGACAGGAACGATGGCCCCTAATCGATATAATCGTTCTATCTCTGAATCGCAGGCTAGTGCAGCAGCAGGTGACAGGTTAGGTTCAGTAAGAAAGGTCCTTGATGGTGGTGAGCTGGCAAAAGGGATACGGTAGCCCTTTATAGCTTCCAGAACCACAGGATCAGAGGTAATATCCGACCAAGCCTCAAAAAATTTGGCTAAACGGCCAGCCGAACTTACATCGTTTAACGGTGGTATCGAGATCTGGTTCGGGACTGGGAGCGATGGCGCCGGCTCTGGTAATGGTGGGCCCCTGATCGGCGAGCCGCTGGTGGACGGACAGGGGCCTTCCTGTTTCCCGAAGGCCTAGATGTTTGAGGCTGGCCACGTTGCTGAGCTGCTTGACGGACAGGTTGTAGCGTTTTCTTCCCCACCTGAGGAACTGGTTTGGAGACTTCGCGACCGGCCTTTTCACAAATCTGAGCCGCCTTGAGCGTTTCGGCAAAATTCTTGCCAAAGAGAAACTCGTCGATAGGTGCTGACTTTGCGGCGTTCTTACCCAAGATGTTGAGAGAAGGCTCGGTGAAGGCTCTCCTCGCGAGTGAGAGACGGTAGTGATGGTCGGCAAGCAGGTGAATGCCTTCTGCGAATAATGTTATAGCCGATTTTGCCTCGTCCCTGAGATCCTGTAAGACCTCTGGCTTCAACAATAGCGACATGCCCGTGCCGAAGGCGTTGAGGCAAGCCCCTACCTGTGTCTGTGAAGACAGTTGGTACTCGTCTCTTTTCATGACTGAAGGGGTCAATGCTGCGATGATTTCCTTGTTCAACTTTGGTGGAGCCAAAGCTGCAAGCTCCTCTTTCACCTCGTATTTCGTCAGAAGGTTAGTGCGAATCTCTGCTTTAAGGCCACCTCGCGACTCCGTCTGGATTGAATTCAAAACGACGGAATTCCAAAGAGCTGATGTGGGAGGAGCCTGAGCTTCCCCAAAAAGCTCGTTGACTAAAGCGTGTGTCTCAGGGACGACCTCCGGGTCCTGAGATTCGGGAACGACGGTGGCGGGTGGATCGGCAAAGGATACATTACCCGCTGCTGTGGGGTTTTCCTCTGAGATGGAAACGATCTCCGCTGAGGCTACGTAGAAAAAAGACAGAGTGAAGAAACACATCGGTTATGCCCTCTCTTTGCCAGATATCCGGAAAAAAACTGGGTCGACAAGAGGACATACCTGGTACAATGCCGCGGCTCGCTTGCGCGGCCGTGTGTTCTTCATGCTCTTGTTCTAAGGCATGTGGCGCAACGGATGCCAAAGACGATGCTGAAGCAACGTCTTGGACCGATCTAACCTCTGCGGGTGAACTAACCTGACACTTGTCTAGGTTATGTGAGCCGTTTCGATCCGCAAGAAATTGCTGAATATCTTGGAGAATCTCACGGTATCTCTCCTTGGACCGGGAACGTCGCGTCGATGATTCTTTCGCTAAATAGCTGTCGTCCGATGAGCTGAAATCCCTGGATCTCTTCCTTCGATGTCTGTCTTTATGAGCGCGATTATGCGAGCTTTCTCTTGAAAAATAATATCGAGACCCTCTTCTCGAGGAAGAGTGTCTATCTGCCTTCTTATGCTTTGGCATAACGGACTTAGTACGGAAAAAAGTCCTAAAGAAAACAAGAAACGAAAGGTTAGAAATGTGGTACACGTGTTGTTGATAAGAGCGAACAGAACACAATGAAGAGGCGAGGCGCGCGCGGCGGGCGCGCGGCGCGCGCGGCCGCGGGAGGCGGCCTCTCTTTTGCTTTTTGGCAGAGCTTTGAATACTGTTGTTGATACGCGTGCAGGGGCACGACTACATAGTTTCCATCCGGACGAGACATAAAGAGGCATAATTGGATATAGAATCGTGCGGCCTTTACCCGCGTACGCTATTC